TGCGCGTCTGTATGTGGTCGGCGTTTGTGTATTTGTGTGCGTGCGTGTGTGTGGGGGGGGGGCGTGTGTGTGTGTGTGTGGGTGTGTATGTGCGTGTGCGCGCGCGCGCGTATGTGTGTGTGTATGCGTGCGTTCGCGTGTGTGTGTGCGTGTGTGTGTGTAGTGATCCATTTACCTGCGCTGCGAGAAATTCGGACAACACCGATGATTTTACGTTCGGATTATGTTATTATCGCGGATTTCGCCAAAGCCGCAGGTCCATTTATAAGGCATAGAAGCCACATATTCGCCCGATACGAAAGACGTGCGTCTAATTCTCCGTTCTTATGGCGGGTGCTTTCATAGATATGCCGGCACAAGCGGAAAATAGGCGACTGAGGGGGAGAATAGGGGACGGGGAGTGGATAGATTAACCTCACACAGTAATGCCAGCCTCTGGTCGTGCCAGCTGAGTATGGCAGTTAGTTGCGCAATTCTTGTTTTCCAATTTGACAGAGCCGTCAGCTATGTTTCTTGTCTTTTCACTAGCTGGGGGACTACTACTGTTGTTATCATTCCTGCAGTATTATTTGTTATCAACACTGGCAATGGTGATGGTAATGTTTTGTTATCCCATTTATTATCGTTTATTATCTGTTTGTTTTGTCTGCTGTCCATATCAAATTTGTTTTTGTTATTAATTGTTGTCGTTATTTTTTATCATTGTTATTATTATCCGTTTATTGTTTCATTAGTTTGTCGTTTTCCTTGATATTTTCACATTTTGTTGTTGTTGTTGTTGTTGTTGCCATCATAATCATCGGAGTTATTACCATCACTGCTCTACTGTATATCTCATTAATTTAACGGTATCGCGAATCTGCAAAGCGGCTTGACAATGCCGGATATAAGCATCCATTCACCGGTTATAACCATTGAAATGTTGATAATTTATACGTTGACTAATTTCTGCAATTTGTGCGTTAAGAGTTTCGCCGAGCTATCCATTATACGAATTTTCGTTTTTCTTCCTTCTTATTTCTATTATATTTGCAGCTAACATCGGCGGCTGAGATCGATATAATAATGGCGCTAATTATAATTAACACCTAGTCAGGTAGATTCTGATTATTGTGATGGCAGCGAAGCGTTCGTCTATTAGTTAGCCGCTATTTCACGCAGCAAAATTGCATGGCGGGTGTGTAGTTTGTGAGATGAATAAAATGGTCTTGTCGCGCCCCCTGTCGACAGCTTAATCTATAATATTTTCGTCTATACAGTTTGTGTCGTTATTTCTTACGTCGTTATGATACTGGAAGTTATGGGAAAAAGTAAATCATGATTGAATTTTTTTGTTATACGATGCGTTAACAAAATCGTTCGCTGTTACTAGAAAACTAGATGTTCACTTAACCATTGTGAAAAAGAGTGAAAGAAGAAGAAAAAAAAGAAGAAGAAAAAAAAGAAGAAGAAGAAAAAGAAGAAGAAGAAAAAGAAGAAGAAGAAGAAGAAGAAGAAGAGGAGGGGGAATAAGAAGAAGAAGAAGAACAACAACAACAACAAGACGCGTTAAACGTACCTGAGGAGAGCGCGACATAGATGAGAGTGAGCGCGGTGACAATCATGGCGACAATCATGGCTTCTTCTTAATAGCGTACGACTCGGTGGACGATTCCGTGCAGTTGGACGCTCGATGTCCGCGCGCGATGTCGCAGATAAAGAAATCGACTTCAGGTGTTCTCGGACACTGAGGCGGATCCGGTTACCGCTGCTCTGTCCAAGATGGATTCCGGTTACAACTGCTCTGTCCAATACGGATTCCGGATTCCACGGTTCTCTCCAAGACAGATTCCGGTTACCACTGCTCTGTCCAAAACAGATTCCGTTTACCACTTCTCTGTCCAAGACGGATTCCGGTTACCCACTGCTCTGTCCAAGTCGAATTCCGGTTACCTCTGTCCAAAACGGATTCCGATTTCGACTGCTCTCTCCGAGACGGATTCCGATTACCCAATGCTCTCTCCAAAACTGATTCCGGTTACCTACTGCTCTGTTCAATACGGATTCCGGTTACCCACTGCTCTGAGACGAATTGTGTGTGCCACGCGTTGCTCTGCCCACTCTCTGCGTTCGCCGCACACTTCGTAATGAATTAGCAGGCAGTTAGGAAAGAGCGCTTGAAGTACGTAAGCAGGCGCGGGCACGCAGCGAGCAGCAGCACGAATCTGACGTACGTTCGCACGTCAAGGAAGTAGATCTCGCTCTCACTATGTGCGCCGCGCTTCTCACATCGCTTGCTGCCTCCGAGAGAGCGAGAGAGCGAGAGAGAGAGAGAGAGAGCGAGCGAGAGAGAGAGAGAGAGAGAGAGAGAGAGAGAGAGAGAGAGAGGGAGGGAGAGAGAGAAGCTCACGCGAGCGGAACACCGGTAGAGTGTTGTGCACAGCGGCGACGACGCGTCTGGCAAGTCTAACAGGCAGTCTCTGAATGCAGCGAGTCCGCGCCTTTCTCCCTTAAACCCGCCTAGCTGCCGGTTAAA